AAATCAATATTTAGTGCCAATCATGTAGGTGGCTACCATTTCTATCATTGCTCCATTTTATATGAAGAGTTTGTAGATAGATGTTATATAAGGGAGCCGTACCTAAAAATGTAATTGCTGCTGCAATAATGACCTCACTGCAAGCAAAATCTTAAATGTGGTTCTACACTTCTCCTCTTGGTAGTTGGGGTAACAATAATGCAGTAATTTATCCCTTTTTTGTTTTCACAGGCATTAATTTGGTCCAAGATGAGTACAGGTCTGCCAATAGTGATCTCATCATCAATGAGGGGCCAAGATTTTGTTTCATATTGCAAGCTGGATATAGATATACGTAGGTATGAATCACTTGAAAAACTAGCAGTATTTGGATATTTAAGATCTTCTCGCATAGCTGATTATCTATATATTTGGTACTATCCAATTTTTTGTGCTGTATTAAGTATGCAGATATATAAATTGTTATATCTGGTTCTTTACATACACAACCTTCTAAATTGCTCAGAAAATACTTGGTTCTCGGCATTATCATGACGATGCTCTTAAAAATGATTTCAGGAACATTCCTAATATTCATAAGCATGAAAAACGAGACAACAAGTATAAATGGCATGGAGCTGAAGTTCAAGTGGTTATTGAGGGAAATTGGACAACTTACCGAGTATGTATATATCATTGGTTCTTGTATTGTTAATTATTGCATTTCCGAATTTCCTTTAGCTTTCTTAAGTTCTGTGATTCACTATCATCATGCCAACAGAAGTTATTTGGCTAGCTAACTGGTAGTATTTTTTATTTTATTTATTTCCTATACATGCAGTCTAAGATATTGCATTACATGCGACAAATGGCTGTTATCACGCCTTACGCTGAATTTATATTCAAATATGTGCCAGATCCAGATGTATCTGAGTATGTTATTTCTCTCTCTTGCATGTGTGCGCACATGAAAATCAGATCTGTATGTTCAATTTCTTACTTCCATTTTGGTGCAGTAAACAAAACATCACCATTAGATTTTCACGGAGAACAGATGCGATGCCTCCAGTTCCTGTTGAGACCAAGCACCATCCATCTTCAGTTGATTTACTTCTAATCAAACGTCTCATTGCAGAAACTTTGAAACAGAATCTCCTGCAGTTTCTTCAGCATGAATTTGTAAATATAGGGAAATCCCTTGCTGAAAGATTAATTGGTAAAAATTTTGCGAGTTTATCTTGTCTCTTCGTGATGCAAGTTAGAATTTGAGTTGTATTATTCCAATGTTCCACTATTCACATGCAGAATCTCAAAGGTTTTATTCGTTTTTCCTTATTTACCATTAATTTAGAATGTAGTTTTATAGTATACATTTGTTAGGAAGATTGGCTTACTAATTGCACTTGGCCTGAAATTGTATGACTCATGAGATTGTGCTAAAAACAATCAAATTGTTACAACCAGTTGATGAACTCAAATATACATTTGCTTGATAATTATGACATTAATCTTTCGATAGTAAACTTAAATCCACCTTTATAATTCTCTTGTAGGTGAAATGGGTCCAGGGTTTAGCCCAAAAACGGCTGTCAAGTCCCTGACTTCTGAGCAAATAATACGCATCCATCAGTTGTTTCGTCAAGCTAAATTTGATGACCCTAGTGGTGATGTAAGCTACTCATCTTTCATGGTTTTGTTAAGTTTATCAGACTGACTGTTGAACTTTTTTATTGTTTGTTAGTTTTTCTTCTACTTTTCATTCCATAATTATGTATATTGTGGTATGGCATGTTACTAAGAAACTGTTTTCAGTGTCTTAGTCCTGCAGGGGAATACAATCTCCGTCTAGGAATTATAAAGGAGCTGAATCCGGACATGGTTGCAACTTATTCAGGCAGGTTGTGTTTTGAAATCCCATTTAGTTAAATCCAGTTACTTATCATATATTGTTTTAGGATAATAATTGATATTTAATTAAAATAATTGTAATTGCAGCTTGAACTTCATATTTATCTGTTATGCATGAACATTCGTTCCTGAACTTCTCTTCTTTGTTTTAATAATAAATACAGCGCTCAAGTTTTCGAGGGACATCCATTCATTGTGGAAGCTGGTGTTAGTCTGGGTGGAAAAGATGTTAAGCAAGTTAGTGCTTCTCTAGTTACTCCTTAGTATTTGTCATACTTGTGTGATTACTGTGTGAGAGGAACAAGGGGAGACACCGTGCTAGAGAGCCTTGACAGTAACAGAATGAAATTATTTTCTAGGAAAGAAATAATGGCAGACTACATTGGTGAATGAAAAACTTTAGGTAGCAGATCTAGGCTTCCTGAGTGCACGAGTAATAGAAAAAGAAAATCAGAAGTTACAGAAAAGCGGAGAAAGTTTGGAGTGGGGACACTTGGGAGCCCATTTAGCGGATAAAATTGGTATTTCTGCTTATGAAATGAAAAAAGGCCAAATTTCCATCTCATTCTTAACCACACTCTATTGCTTGACGATTGGATTGCTATAGTAAAGAGCTCATCAGAATTTTATTCTCCGCTCTTTCAGTGTTTTAAAATCTGTGATGTTTCCATATAAATTGCAGGGATTAAATATTTTTCGTTTTGCAAACCGGATCCCTCTTCTGTTTGAACAAGGCGGTGATGTTGTCACTAGAACTGTGCTAAAGAGAATCAAGTAAGAATATTAGGAATATATTATTTGCATTTCTATCTTGTGTTTATTTTTTCACTCTTGGTTTTGGTACTAAGATACAAAAATATAAATTTAACATTTTTTTGTCTTTTGCTAAAAAAATTTCAGTTGGACCAATTACAAGATCAACCAAACACAGGACAAAATTGGCGTCTTTGTGAGTATTGTTAGTACAAAAATCCCCTTCAAAGGGACTGGCAAGGAGTATATTGGGGATGATATCCGTGAGATAGCTGCCGCTGTTAAGGTGGAGCATTTTCCATTTTTATTAAATGTCATTTACTGATTTAACAAGTATGCTGACCGCATCATTGTCTCTCTAGACTGCCATTCAGCAGTGCTGCAACCAGCTAAAATCGAAAATAGTGAGGAAAATTCAGGCTCGGGAGCAGCAGGAGAGAAAACGGAACTTGAGCAAGTAACTCCAATTACTGTCTGTTTGCTGTGCCCAGTGGTAGGCTTAATTTTTTTCTTTATGTTTGTACAAACTGTGATAAAATTTCTGTCAACTGGCAGGTATATACCTGATGCTGCAGGTGCTATATACAATGTTTTGAAAGAAATGTCACAATTCCAAGTATCAAAGAAGCGACGTTATGAGGAACAAGACACAGATCTACTTAAACATGTACACTCTCGGATGGTTACGAAAGAGACTCTCATACAAATGCTTGGTCAACATGTCGAAAAGGTGAGTTCTTGTTTACATGGTGTGCAAAAATTCAAAAAACTTGTTTTGAACATCTTTAATATTAACTTTTAGGTATAACTTTTGACTAACGTCCAGGAATCTAACTTTTGATAAATTTGCAGGTGGATTATGAGATGGCAATGGAGTATGCTACGCAGAGTGGAGTAACCGAGGAGCCAAGGGAAACCATATACCTACCGGCACTAGAAACAGACTGCAATTTCATCGACCTCCACAGTTCTAACTTTGTCTTCCGACTCATTCAGTAAGATTTTTTTAGATACATTAGCGCATTAGTTGTGAAATAATTGTTGTTGTAGATTACGTCTTACAATTCATCCTTCATTGTATATCTTATAAAGAAAATGAGACAATTGGCGCTTACTGTAACTTTCAGTAGCAGCATTACACGATTATAATGATGATTATATGAATTCTTTGAATACAGTTGAATCCGGTTGGTTGCTCATCCGATGTTGCATTTATTGGCGTCTTAAACAAGATCTTGAAGGAGAGATCATGAATGTGTGAGGGTGTTAATGAAGAATGTGCTTGTTTGTGAAATTCGTTAGGGGTGTTTGTGAAATTTATTAAAGCCAAAAAGAAATTTCTTTGAAGCTTCCTGGGAAGCAAACCAGCATTGGCTTCTATTGCTGCTTTCAAGAAATTATTGCCAGAAAATTAGGTAGAGAGAATAGTATTGGCCAATTTTTATTTTCAGATTTGCCTAAAATAAAAATTAGTAAAATTCGTTCGATTTTCCAGAAAACCCACTCAAAAAGCAACTGGTTCAGACCAGTTAACTGGTTTTGAACACCCCTAGTTGAGAGAATTTATAATTTTAAGTAAAGACATTTATTTACATATATTGAAGAAATGAGTGAATTATTCTTTGTTTGATTTATGTTTGACAATAACTTTTGTAGTGAGCATATGGTAGTTCTAAAAATACGATCTTAACTTTTATTTTTGTCAAATTGTTAAGTTATTCTGTTTAAATTTGAATGAAAATGTTTTTGTCATAATCTATTGATAATGTTGAAAGGTTAATATGTTTTTAAGAGATGAAATTGATAAAATTTCTTATAAATTTGAAGGTTGAATAGGTGAGCATTTCCTCCACCACTGGAGGTTAGAGTCATTTTTTAAACCAATAGATGCTGAAGAAAAAGGCCAAACACTTCATGTTTTACTATTAAAAAAGCATTTTAAAATTGAAAAACATAATTTGAATTCTATATTAAATATACCCTAATTAACTATTTTTTTTTAATTTAGAGTATCTCTTTATAAAAAGTTTTTTTTTCTAAAAAGTGACGTTTAGATTATGATTTAAAGGTTAATATGAAAAATTAATTTAATAAATACAAATTAAAAGATATGAATGATAGTACTAGTAACATCTCACTTTGTATAAATGACTTCGTACAAGGTTTGAATTTTTTAATAAGACATTTATCGGGAGAGAAACTTATGCACGTGTCAATAACACAAAATTTTACAGATATTAAAATAAAATAAATAAATAACATTAACATTTTCTATATTTAAAACTTTCTGACAAAATAATAGCTTACTCTCACACTCAAGTCTGAAGTCTCTGCAGGAGCTGTAAGTTGCGTTCTCTCTCAATTCTCCGTACATTTTTTATTCCTTTTATAATTATCCTTTCGAAGCAACATTTCGTTCTAGATCTCGCAGCTGAAACAAACCCCGTTAACATGACAACTACGCAAATCGCGATTCTCGGCGCCGGTATCTTCGTCAAAACGCAGTACGTTCCGCGACTCTCCGAGATCTCCGACATCGTTTCCGTCAAATTCATTTGGAGCCGCTCCGAGGTACACTAATTATCCAATACAATCCTTCACTTCATTTGTTCCTTTCTTTCCTTTATTAATTAATTAATCTATTTATTAATGTGAATGATGATTGGTGGAAAAGGAATCCGCGAAAAGTGCGGTTGAGATTGCGCGTAAGCATTTTGGTGGTGTGGAGGCTGTTTGGGGAGATCAAGGACTTGATCGGATTATTAATGATGATTCGATTCTTGGCGTTGCTGTGGTTCTTGCTGGACAATTTCAGGTTTCTTCTCTTTTCAGTTGTTTTTTGTTACTTGTTTGGGAACATTGTGCGGAGTTTTATCTCTTTCTATTTATTCCATTATGTTACTGTTGTTATGCCTGTCACCAGTAACTCTACCGTTGCCACAATCGATCACAGTGACCTTAAAGGTGTCATAATCAGTGCCAGTAACATTGCTGTTATCCTTAAAAACAGTACCGGTAAATTTACCAGTGCCACACACAACTATGGTAATGTTACCGGTACCAGTAATGTTGCTGTTATCCTCTGCAGCATCTGTCGTTACTAGTGGTTTGCATGATCATGTTGATGTTACTTGTGTCTCATGGTATCCAGGGATGTAGGGATGTAGCCAGGATTCTTCTGAGTCAGTAGGTTCAAAACAGGTACGGAGCCACATAGTGACTTGTGGGTTCAATTGAATCTACTGAATTTTTCAAAAATTTCAAAAAAGTATTAATAGTTTATGGATTTTATAATTTTAATCCCACTTAACTTCATGTTGACCCTACAAAATATATTAATTAATATTTTTTAAACTTCTCTTTTCTTTATTTTCTCTCTTTTGCTCTCATATTATATTTGTCTATTAGTTGGATATTCAAGAAAGACTACTCCTTTGGATTACAAGGTAAGATGAAACTAATTTTATTTTCACTTTTTACTTAAAATTAATTATTTTCTTTTCGCTTTCTTAATTGGTGAAAGATCATGAGTTATGAGTTTTTGTTGAGTTCAAAAAATGGGTTGAAATAATTCATAGATTTTGATGTGGGTTTTGATTTAATCTTGTTTATGTTGAGGTATGAGTTAATTAATTGTTGTTTTAAGTTGGGTTTGATATATTGTGGTTAGTTATTGACTTAATTTTGAATATGGTTTAAAGAATTGATGAAACCCTAAGTTGTAGAGATTTGAGGATTTGGTTTAATTTTGATATATTAGCTAATTGCTTGATATTTAGAGTTAGATTTGATGAGTTTTCATGTATTTATGAGTTGAATTTTATTGGGTTAGTAGAAATTGTTTGAAAAATCTAAGTTAGTTGAATTTTGATAAATTTGTGTTGTTTTTTAATTGTGATTGCAAATAAATTATATTTCTGATAATAAAAATTCTTTTATTTTTTTTTTAGTTACGGACAAGATTTTGATAAAAAAAAAAGTTTTCTAATGAGGAACCATCAATTGAACAAAACATAAAACGTCACGATAGTGTTCACAATGAGCCTATGGAATCTAGTTCAAGACAAACATATGTTGAGCTTAACTTGAGTAGACTTCCTGCAGATCTTGGATTGAGGATTAAAATTTTAGAATATCATCTTAATGATAGAGACAAAGTGAGAAGGGCATACTTGCAAAAATGATCTTTGTTTAGATAACTTCACTAATTTCATTGCATTAACAATATCTTGATCTTTTTTTTGTAAGGCATTTGATAATTTATTTGTAATGCCTAACACAGTCTTCATCAAATGTAAGCTAAATATGAAATCAAAAGACTGTATAAACTCTAACAAAGTAGAAGCCTGAGCTCTTTGTTTAGAATCTGAACCATCCTCAACAACATTATCAAGAACATCTACACAGATGGAAACATAACAATCAAAGCTGCAAGCGTACCATAATGTGAACCCCTACGTGTATCTCCTGCTCTTTTAAGTGTAGCTTCTTGATTCAATCCACGTCTACTTGTAAGTTTACCAATAGATAATGCTTCAGAAACATGAGCAGCTTGACGTTCTCGAAGGATTCTCGTCGCTTACAAGAAGCCCCAACAACATTTACTAGATCAGCTACCATGTTAAAAAGACTTCCAACTTGAACATCATTTTTTGCAATAGCAACAAGTGTAAGTTGAAACTGATGAGCAAAACAATGAATATAATATGCTAATTCATTCTCCCTCATGATCAAACTTTTTAACCCATTGAATTCACCTCTCATGTTGCTAGCTCTATCATAACCTTGCCCTTTTACCCTTGATACACTTAATCCATGCTTGGAAAATAATGAATCAATTGATAACTTAAGAGAATAAGCACTTGTGTCATTAACATGAATTATGTCAAGAAATCTCTCAACTACATATCCTTTTTTGTCAACATAACATAACAGAACAATCATTTGCTCTTTCACAGATATATTGCGAGATTCATCCACCAAAATTGCAAAAAAATCATCTTCCAGATCATGAATAATAGCATTAACAGTTTTAATGGCAAAAACATTAATAATGTCATGTTGAATATCGAGAGGTTAGCTTAACATTACTGTGAGCGTTTTGTCCAACAACTGCATGAATTTCCTTTTTGCAAGTATGTCCTTCTCACTTTGTCTCTATCATTAGGATGGTATTTTAAAATTTTAATCCTCAATCCAAGATCTGCAGGAAGACTACTCAAGTTAAGCTCAACATATGTTTGTCTTGAACTAGATTCCATAGGCTCATTGTGAACACTATCGTGACGTCTTATGTTTTGTTCAATTGATAGTTCCTTATTAGAAAACTTTCTTTTGATAAAAAACTTGTCTATAACTAAAAGAATTTTTATTATCAGAAATATAATTTATTTGCAATCACAATTAAAAATCAATACAAATTTATCAAAATTCAACTAACTTAGGTTTTTCAAATAATTTCTACTAAACCAATAAAATTCAACTCATACATACGTGAAAACTCATCAAATATAACTCTACATATCAAGCAATTAACCAATATATCAAAATTAAATCAAATCCTCAAATCTTTACAACTTAGGGTTTCATCAATTATTTAAACCATATTCAAAATTAAGTCAATAATTAACCACAATTTACAAACCCAATTTAAAACAATTAATTAACCCATACCTCAACATAAACAAGATTAAATCAAAATCTATGAATTATTTTAAACCCATTTATTGAACTCAATAAAAACCCATAACTCGTGAGCTTTCATCAATTAAGAAAGCTAAAAGAAAAGAATTAATTTTAAGTAAAAAATAAAAATAAAATTAGTATTATCTTACTTTGTAATCCAAAGGAGTAGCTTTTCTTGAGTATCCAACAAAAGGATAAATATAATATGAGAGGAAATAAAGAAAAGAGAAGTTTAAAAAGTATTAATTAATAATTTATTTTGTGGGGTCAACATGAAGTTAAGTGGGGTTAAAATTGCAAAATCCATAAACTATTAATACTTTTTTGAAATTTTTGAAAAGTTCAGTGGGTTCAATTAAACCGACAAGCCACTACGTGCTTGATGGTATCTGGTACTGATAGCAAACATTTACTGTTATCCTTTTTTACAGGGTCGAAGTTAGAAAATTAAATTTGATGGTCAAAGTGTAATATTCAATGAATGAGATGAGGGGCTTGATAAAAAATGAATTTAGGAAGGTACATTTAGGGGGCCAAAGTGTTAATGAATAAGGGGGGCTGAAATTAGGGATAAAATAGATAATATTTATATTAATCTTTTAAAATTGTCGTGGTTCACTCTTGCTTCCCGATTATGGGAATGTTCCCGATAAAAGACAACCATGACAACATTATGGGTACCATAAACGTTATCATTCACGATATCAGTAATGTTGTTGTTGCTATGAGTTCTTGTTGAACAAATTCAGGTTTCTTTTTCCTTTCATTCTTACTTTGTTATGCTCTAGTGGGCTAGCGGCCTGGCCTTACCCATACTTTTTACTCATTCTTATTTTTGTACAATGTTATATTATCGTGTTATTATGCATTTTATATCACTTATAATTTACCTATGATATATGTTAGAAAATTAAGAAAGACGCAGACTCCCTAATTTGATCCCAAGATCATGTTAACATGTTCATCGTTGCAATCACATTAATATAATTAACGAATTGTAATGAAGAAAATCACTGCATAAATACTTCCTTTCCTTTGTCAATCCTAATTGAAGCAGAAGTGTAGATTGAGAGAAATCCAGAAAAAACTTTTGTATTTTATATTAGATAGAGTAACAATTTTATTCAAAGAAAACTTTTTTATATATGTGGCAGTTGCCTTCATTGCAACTGTAGTATATTGGGTGGTAACTGCCTTTAACAATTGCTACAAGTGGGTCTCATCATGGGTGTCCCAATTGTGACAAATACCAAAGGCAGTTACCACCTAATATATAACAGTTGCAATGAAGGCAACTGTCATATATATAAAGAAGTTTTCTTTGAAGAAAACTGTTACTCTATCTAATAATATACACTTTCACAGTAACATTATCGATACCACAATTGTGAGTATTTTAAATACATTCAAACAGGATTTAACACTTTATGTAATATAACAAGTGCATTTACAAATTTAATCACATACTAAAATTCATGCTATCAAAATAAAAGTTGCTTTTGCTGTGATGGTGAAATTGCTACAAGGAAAAATTTGTGAGGATTCATTCTTGGTGTAAAGTTGACACGTTAAAAGCATTTTTGTAAAATTTCTTCTTGTTAAAGAGAGTGGAAATTCTAAAAAAAGCTCTTCAAAGGATAACACTAGTCAGAAGCCTTTTAAGAAAAAATAACAACTCTACCACCAAGACTGAATCCTCGCCAGTTTCTTTCAGTAGCTTCACCATCACAACGATAATAACTTATCTTTGAAAGCATAGATGATGGTATATGATTAAATTTTGTTACTAGTGTATGATCATTATAATATGTTACGGGTGTCGTAACCTATCACTAGGGGCGGACTTAGGACTTATGAATATAGGCCCAGACCTACTCTTAAATTAAAAAAATTGGAGGGTCGACTTGGTCAATATCTCTTTAAATTTTTTTAATCTGAGGCCTACCTTTACAAGGCTTGGGTTTGCCCATGTACGTAGAGGCTGTGTGCATCTTTAATCTAGATGGTTTGAGTTTTGATTTTAACAGCTGGATTTGGAGTTATACAACTTGAAGTTTGACTGCTTCACTAGTGATTTTAACGGCTGGATTCTTGGGTTTGCCCATGTACGTAGAGGCTGTGTGCATCTTTAATCTAGATGGTTTGAGTTTTGATTTTAACAGCTGGATTTGGAGTTATACAACTTGAAGTTTGACTGCTTCACTAGTGATTTTAACGGCTGGATTTTAAAAGCATAGATGTTGGTATATGATTAAATTTTGTTACTAGTGTATGATCATTATAATATGTTACAGGTGTCGTAACCTATCACTAGGGACGGACCCAGACCTTGTGAAGGTAGACCTGACCTCAAATTAAAAAGAAATTGATTATAGCTCTTCAACTTTTTTTAATTTGAGGGTTGGCCTGGTCAATAACTCTTCAATTTTTTTTAAATTTTGGGGTAGACTTGGGCCCACCTTCACAAGGCTTGGTTTCACCCCTGTACGTAGAGGATGTGTGGATCTTTAATCTAGATGGTTGAGTTTTGATTTTAACGGCTGGATTTAGAGTTATACAACTTGAAGTTTGATTGCTTCTATGGTGATTTTAACGGCTAGATTTTGAAAGCATAGATGCTGGTATATGATTAAATTTTGTTACTGGTGTATGATCATTATAATATGTATGGGTGTCGTAACCTATCGCCAAGGGCGGACCCAGGCCTTGTGAAGATAGGGCCAGGCCTACTCTCAAATTAAAAAGTTTTGATTATAGCTCTTCAAATTTTTTTAATTTGATAGTCGGTCTAGTCAATAACTCTTCAATTTTTTTTTAATTTGAGGGTAGACTTGGGCCTACCTTCACGAGGCTTGGGTCCGCCTTTTACGCAAAGGATGTGTGGATCTTCAATCTAGACGGTTGAGTTTTGATTTTAATGGCTAGATTTGGAGTTATATAGTTTGAAGTTTGACTGCATCTCTAGTGATTTTAATACATCTCTTTGTAAACCTTTATGTATTTTACTTGTCTTAGAGTTGTGATTGAACTCTAAATTTGTGTGGGATATTTTTGGTGGATTGTGGTTGCTGTAAACTCTTTTGATTATACTGGATTTAAGTGGATTGTTAGATTTCTGTGGTTTTTTGCTGTCTTCACATTGAAGTGGTTTTTCTATGTAAATATTTTCTTGTATTTCTTTGTGAATTGGATGTTATTTTCAACACATTTGCTCAAGGTTTTGCTTCTCATAGATTTATTCAAATAGGAAAGTATTGTATTATTGCATTCTTTCCTTTCAGCTTCTTGATATTGTATTGTTTTCTTTGCTCAAGGTATGATGGTTTTTTAAAAGTTTTTGTTGTTATCCTCTGCTGCACCAATAAAGTTCGGTTAACCGTTTCGGCACCGGTACTGTTTCCTGTGACATACAAAATTGCGGTAATAATGCTGGCTTTTTTCATGCATGTTTTGCGTCAAAGCTGTGATCCCAGTAGAAGTTACCACCACTACTGAATTATATATACTGGTTATATTACCACTATCTTTTAGGTCACTACTAAATTAGTGGTATAATGGCAACAATTAAGTTAGTGGCATTGTGGCTCCAGTATAGTTTTTTTATATTGTTACAGTGATTTTTTTTTTTTTTGTGATTGGAGAAAGAAATCATTGTGAGGATTAAAAAGTGATGAAAGAACCGTGTTTCCAGCAAATTGAAGTGAATAAACATGTCTGTTCAGTACTTTCCTTGTAATATATAATTGGAACTCAGAGTTCAATGACTTAGAAGAGAATGAGCTGAAATCTATTGTTAAGTGTCAAATTGGAATTCTTTTAGGATAGATTTTAAGCACACCCTCTTTGGATGACCTTGTTCACCTTCTTTACTAAACAACAGTATTACTTACTACAATCTGGTTGGAAGAGCTATAAATTATAAGTAAAATGTCATTACTTCCTTTTAAATTGATTCTTGCAGGTTGATATATCACTGAAACTTCTGAAGGCAGGGAAGCATGTCCTTCAAGGTGATTCCTGCTAACTAACTCTAAAGGGATGTAGTTTGGGTATATTTTATCTTTGTAAAATCCGAGTGTTTGTACCAGTTAACCTTTTATGTTTACGGACAAAAGTAGAAGAGATAGGGAGTTTTGCAGAGCTTTCATTGTATATTAGTCCTGTGCATAAATGTCTTATCATTGAAATATATCTTTTGCTGCTTCTGAATTTCTCCTTTGCGGAATCTACTAAAATTTCTCTTTTGTTTGGACACGCCGTGTTTGCTTGGCCATCTTGGTGAATCTGAAGAGAAACCAGCAGCAGCTTGTAAGTTCAATATTTAATTGACTTTTTCATTGTCCTAGAAGGAATTTTTTTTGGTTGGTTCTTTTAATCTTCTGCATTGGAATGTACATAATGTTATCTCGTAATGATTGTCTTTTTCTTTTTATAAATGATGTGTTAATTATGGTTAGTCACTATCACCCAGACAAGTGGAAGTCATGCAATTTTTAAAAATATGGACCATTTTTTAGACAAAGGTTTGCTACAGAATTCAACTTCTTTAAAATTCTTGACTTTAAACTTTTCATCAGACAAAATCTGTCATAGTAATAAACAGATGTGCTAAGAACATGATAAAATGTTTCAATATCAAAGATGTATCATTAGATCTAAAATGGGGATTACATTTCCATATTAGTCTCTTGTACTCGAAATCAAGGCTGGGAGCTGGATCATGTCCTTTTTTCTCGGACATCAAAATGAAGTTGAAAACATAAAAAATGATACTTCTGTTTATCTTAAGGAAGTCTACCCTTCTGATTTAACTTGGAACCTAGTCTTATCACCATCAAAAACAAATTGGTTTTCCTTAGTTTAATATTTCCTAGAAAGTATTAGGCGTCACCACAACTTGTAGTCCTTTCTACTCCAAGTTTGATGCTGCAACCCTGCTGAAAATTAATTATCAATCTAGGCATATGTTCCTGTTTTATGTGTTTCTTATAAAAATTAAATAAAAAAGAAAGATAGAAGAGAGGAAAAAAAGTCATCAGTCTAGGAATTGTTAACCAATTTGAGCTAAATTTTCATTTCAGATTTATATAACAGGGTACTTGTATCTCGTAACTTTTCCTAAACATTTTTTCCGGTCTTTATAATCTTCTGAGATATCTCAATCCAGTGTCACCACTTTCAAATTATTTTATCTTTTATGCTTTTTTATGAATCTTCTTTAAACACTACAATGAAACTTAACAGCCATTTTGTGTCCCTGTCTCATCTTCTGAGTTAATGTTATATCTGTAATAAGTTCTCCAGATAAATCCCTTGGATTTATGTTATATTTAAGAAATTTACCTTTAAGCCAATGAACATTTGTTTCATATGCAGCTATAAGTGAGATAGAAAAGGCATTGTCAGGCTACAACTCTATTCGTGCCAATGTACGTGGTCAACCAATTTGGGCTGTGGCAGAAAATTATCGATTTGAACCTGCCTTTGTCGAGGTATTTGTTTATGGCATCTGATTTCGTTTTATTTACAATTTACTAGATGCTGATTATTTCTTTGCAGTCCAAGAAACTAATGGCAGAGATTGGGGATATGATGAGTGTCCAAGTTATTGTTGAAGGATCAATGAACAGTTCAAATCCATACTTCTCAAGCTCTTGGAGGCGAAATTTCACAGTATGTATTTCATTGTAATTTCTAATGATCATAAAAAAATTTAGGAAATATGAAATGTGACTTGGACTCAGAAATAGGAAACTACGGAATTAGAACTTTGACATTAAAATACAATATAAGAGATTGGGACTTGGGCTTTCACTATTTAATGTGGTAAATTGACCTCGAATTTAACATTTATTTCAATCAAATCAGTAATAAATCCAAGATCAATATTGTTCGTGTTTTAGTTCTCTCTTGATATAAGAACTGGATAAAATATGTAGGGGCTAGGGGGTCAGTTTACAGTACTCTTTCTGAATTGAATAGCATATCTAAGCCAAAATTAAAAATCATAGATTGTTAATTTACACATCTGTCTCTTAGCTGGTTCTGTAGGTTGAAGACTTTAGAAACTACTGAGATACCTTCGACTACCAAAAGATAAAGAAGATGAACAGAACAGAACAGAGACTTAAGTTATCGAAATATTAAAAAGCATGAATTGATGTATACCAAAAATATCTAGTTAAAATACCATTTAAGCCCTATATTGAGTCATGACTGTGTCTTCTTGACTATAAGATGAGATACAATATGTTTATGATACCAAAGTACACATGGTCAGAATGCTTACTTCTTTTCACTTGTTAAGTAGAAAGAGTGTATTTGTTATTCCTCTTTCATGTATTATGTTGTTGCACATCTTAATAGTCCAAGAAATTTCTTCCATACTTGTTTATTTATTATGTCTTTCTCTGTTCTTATCATATTTATCTTTAATCCTTTCGTGTTATATGTTGACAAATGTATATTGATTTTGGGCAGGGAGGTTTCATTTTGGATATGGGTGTGCATTTCATTGCAGGATTAAGGATGGTAATCAGGAAATTCTTTTATACTCGATGATTACTAAACTATAGTTTGGTTTATTTAAAACACCATGTTCTCCTATTCTTACTTAGCTAATTTTGCCTTTTATCAAACCTAACGGCCACCCCATGCAAAAGCCTTCAGCTAGACATTGTCAAATCACCTACCATAACTCCACTTTGGTGGGCGCAACTCTGGGTAAATATGAAGTGGGATTCTATTTCCATGACACAGCTTTTTCTTTTTTGTTCGTTTTCTTGCTGCCAAATTTCGTCTTACTTGCATAACTTATCACTTTAGAAACCACATACTCATGTTATTGCAACAACCTCAGTTGAAGTTGTTTGGAATGGGCATTAATTTTGATGAGTTCTAGGTTTATTTATTAATGAGAAAAATAATTGAGGTTTAATTTTTAGAAAAAAAGATAGATTTCTTTTTGCACGCTTAAATAGCCATACTTGAATTCTGAATGTGATTTTTCTTGCTTTTGTGTGAAGCTCGTTGGATGTGAGGTTGTCTCAGCATCAGCCACGACCTGTCACGTGGACAAAACTTTACCTCCACCTGACATTATATCATCCAACTTGTAAGTCGTCTCCAGAATGATATATGATTGTTTAAGAAAGTCTTTCTGACAAAAAATGGAATCCTAAATATGAGTATTTGGAATTTCATTGTCTCAGTCAACTGGAGAATGGATGCTCTGGAGTTTTTGTGATGGTTGTTTCCAGTAGATCTTCAAAGGCATGTGGTAAAGTTATAGTTTACTTCCAAACAATATTTGTGCTCATTCATTACTCTTTACCTATAGTCTTTGGTAACTTCAGATATTCTGGCGAGTTGTTGGTTTGAAAGGAACGATACAAATTGAGCGTGGAAACCAAAATGGACGCCAGGGTTACACGGTATATTGAAATATTAATTCTTACTCTAGTGATGGTAGTTTATATCGTTGAAAATCATAAGTTGAAGCCAAAATGGGCTCTTTCGAAGTTTTTATTGTTCTGTTCGCCTTGAGACTGAAAACGGTTTTCTAGATCAATTGGTGCGAAGAGATGCTCTTATATTGATGTCTTACAATTATCACAGGTTTTATATTATACTGCTGATGGGCAGTGCAAAAGTTTCTTCTACCCATTCAGTGGAGTGACTGATGAATTTAAAACTTTCATACATGACATTCAAGAGGCTAAGGTACAATGGACGCTAATTTTCATGCTCATCTTCATACATCATTTCCTTCTTTTATGTTATGGAGTCTGATACAAAGTCGCCACTCTCATTCTTGCATTTCAACTTCTTTCCCATTGTTATTTATCTAAACGTCTTTGTTGCCCGTTGAGACAATGTAAGATCCTGATTTTCATTTTATGGTCTCAAGCTGCATAAAATTAAGTTTCTAGGTGCTACATTCTTCGCATGTATGACAAAGCTATCATGTGATCCTATTTCGCGCTTTGTTGCAGAAGGGAAATGGCCATGAAGTCGAGCCTCGCTTATCTTATATTGAAGGTGCCAGAGATGTTGCTCTTCTTGAGGCAATGATGGAATCAGGATCGAAAAACGGAGCCCTAGTTCACGTTAAAAAATTCTAGGTTGACTATCGAATCCTCTGCTTGGCCAACATCATTCTGTCCAGCTAGGAACATGATTCTTATGCTCAATATTTTTCTCCAAATTTCTGAGTTCATTCTTCATTGTAAGATTCAGGTTCAATATTGCAAACTCGAAGGCAGGATACGGCTTCTCTGTTAGATTCAATTCTACCGAATAAGATCAAATGTACGAACTCAGATTGGGAATGGTTGGTAAGAATTTGTAAAGTTTTGAGGAAAACAAAAAATATTTCAGTGTTGTACCATGTGAGTGGATGGGCAGGGGCCAAGAGGCATGCCCTGCTGAGCAAGAAATCTGGCTAAATCTTTAACTACGTTGATGGGCCACATTATCACACATCACGTACAATAATTAGCCAAACATGCCCAACATGAATAAACAACTCTGAATTTCTTTGTTGGTGAATTTTACGTACAATAACTTTAAGGGAAATGACTTTTAGGCCCCTTAGATTGATCAGTATCCCCACTTTTTAAATATGTTTTTCTTTTGACAATTTTAACCTTAATGAAATTATAATTTTCAAATAAACTCAACTTTAATTCTTAACCCTAACTCTAAATCTTCTAAATCATTGAAACATTTTTTTATTTAAAAAAAAATTGTTTGACGAAAATTTATTACTAAACTATGGAGAAAAGTAATCACATAGTTAGATAAATTTGAATCTTAAGAAGAAAAAATAAGTTTCAAATTTGAAATTGGAAAAAATAGGTACAAACAAAAACCATAATTAAAAAAAAAAAAAATTGATGAAAAGTAGTATAAACAAAAATTCTAAGTTAAGTTTGAAATTGGTGAAAAGTGATGTAAACAATAACCCTTTTGAAATTGAAAAAAAGAGGTGCAAACAAAAACCATAATTAAACCTAATTAAACAAGGATATTTTTGTTATTAAACAGGGTTTAAAAAGATTTTTTTTTTTTAAAAAAAAAAAATTATAATAGAAGTGTATTTAGAAATTGAAGATACTAATCAATTTGAAGGGGTCTAAAATTCACTTCCCTTGAAGCTATTGTAACATGAATTTTCGACACAAATGTATAGCGATAAATAAACTTGTGTTATACTAACTTAACCTAGTTTTAATGTAGTAATAATATTATAATTACAGATTTTTTATAGATGACACAAGTAGATTGAGAGAAAGAAAATGAAAAGATAATAATAATAGTGTAACATAAGTTTGTATAGTAATGTTTATTCATTTTAATGTTCACAAATCTACAATCAATGACGGTTGAAGGGCCAGTAGGGGCTGATGACCCCCTTAAATAATTCACCTCCTAAAATTAATTGTCTTGTTGGATCCTTTTTTAATGTTGAGTCGCCAATTTACAACTTTGAGATGAACATTCCACATGTTAGCAATAAATTGTTGAATGTAGAAATGAATGCATATTTGTAGTCTCTTTCACTTGTGCAACTTGGCCAACACAAATTTAACCAATCTAGGCTTTGTCTTCTGGTAGTTGGAGATCAAAGGAATAAAAGATTAATTGCGGGAACTTATGGTTGTTAATTATTATTGCATTACTTATTGTATAAGATTCTCCTAATAATGTTTTGGGTAAATACCCACCCTAATAATGATATTGAGTAAAAAATTAATTGGAAATTTAATGTGAGTGACTAAATTGAGTAAAAAAAATTTCATTAAATCTAAAAAATTTAATTCAGAAACACAATTTGCATTTAGCTATTTAGCTTGGTTCACCGATTTCAATCCTTGTGTAACACATCTTATATACAATCATATATTCTCAAAGTCCAAACTTGAATATATATAGTTTAAACTTTTGGGTCGAGTGATTCAGTTATTATAACACACGTTTGTATCACAATTACATCTAACTATTCTCAAGTCAATTAGATTATATTATATCAATGATTAGGAAAAATTATATTATAAGTTTGCGTTACAAATGCGGTAACCTTATTACGAAATATTATACGTGTTTTAAGAAAAAAGAAAAGACTTTGATGACGATAATATAACAAAACGGAATTGATATAAACTTATGATCTAACATTTAGTAGTAAATATAAATTTTTAAGAGCTTATAGTTGTAATGTAACTATCAAATGATATAATGAATGCAAGAGTTCAACAAAATTTTGTATTGAATAAATAAAATTAAGGTATTTATTTATTAGTATAATAAATTACTTGTTAAGTATTTTCAATAGGGTCATTTTCATTGATTGGAATTTAATGTGAAAATGAAATTCATTAATTTATTTTCCTTTCATCAAATCAATTCTTAAGGACACATGTTAAGAATACTAAAAGACAAAATATTTGCTTATTTTGATGTATATTATATATTAAAAAACAAAAAACATAATTTTCAATATATTGCAATGCTTAATTTTTTGTCATATACTGTCCTTCATACGTGCCTTAAGGATAGACATTGAGATAACCGTATAATTATAGAGTTACAAAAATACCCAAAAGAAAAAGAAAAGTGTCATTGATATCAAAATATTATCTTGTAAATAAGAAATAGACTTTTCAAACCAACCATGCCTACCACCATTTGTCAAACTTTATTTTTGCCAACCACAAATGAAAAAGATTTGACATAAATTTTTGGAACCCCATTCATTCATTCAATTCAATTGAAGAAGTTGAATGTTGTTTTCAAATTTCAATACTTGTCCCATGTTACTCCCAATCTTACAATTTTTCATATTTGGGTCTATTTAATATAAAAGCACTTCCTGACAAAACTATCTCGAATGCTTCTTCAACTTCTGGCTTTTCAGTTTTCCAACCTGTCTTTGCTTTTGTTTTTTCAAAGTGTTTTTGGTGTTTTCATAGCTTTTACACTTCACTTTTTGTGTCCATTTATAGAGATTAAATTACTTATGAGGATTTTGAATTGCATTTAGATTCTGAGAATTTGAATAAAAACACTTTTATCTCGAATTTAACAGTTAATTTTAGTAATAAAAGGTTGAAGATTTTACATTAAAAATAAAATTAAAATTGTCTATGTCTTATCTCATATCGTTAGTAAACTAAAGTTTGGATCAGTTTATAAACTTTGAGTTTCCTTAATTGAAAAATGTTACCTTGAATGAAAGAAACTTATTATATTAACAATACTCATTTATTAAATAATAAAACTTTTCTTAAAAGAAATAAAAACGAAAACCAATATCATTTTCTTTAATAGAAAGAAAATACTAATAAAGAGACAGTTTTTTATGTGACACATATACTATACAATTGGCTCATACACCACTCATCCGAAAAAAAAAAAAAAAATGTAATAGAATTTCTCTACAGTAATACACTAATACTCTATAGAAAAATAATATAATCATCGACGGTAATGCATCGAATTTGTATATCGAATGACGTGATAAAATCCTGATCGTTGATTAATTTTAACTTAATATTAATTAACGATCAAGATTTTACCACATCATTTGGTGTATAAATTTGATACATTACCGTTGGTGGTTATATTATTTTCCTATAGAGTATTAGTGTATTACTTAATATTAATCAACGGTAAAGATTTTATGGTATATAAATTTGATATACTACTGTCGATGACTATAACATTACTCATCTCTATGTAAGAATAACTTTTGTATAATCATAAAAAAATTTAATTCTAATTATAAATAACAAAAAAAGCAATAATTTGGTGGACGTATAAATGATATGTGCCATGTGTTATTATAATAATAACTTTTTTTCACCAATAACTGTATGCCACGTAGGCAATCATCATGCAAGAAATGACAGGCACGTTATGCATGAACATCTTTTTCTTCTTTTGTGACAGACAGTCATTTTGCTAAGTCCTACCGTTCAAAGCTCCAAATTCGTTAAGTACTTATGATTTCCTGCAGACCGATGCACGGTACACATAGTACGACTCACCCCTCGTGATCCCCCCATCTGTCTTTACTGGTATGAACCGTCAGATCCTCCGCGATCAACGATGACACTTGGCAGCTCTTGATTTGATCATGTGTCTACCTGACCATTTTGTCCTTTTGTGGTTTAAAAACTGGACCTGAGCAGCTGCGCTGGACTGGACCACACAGTATCCAAGGCCGTACACCGTATCGTTTGACGGTTTATAACTCGCGATATTTTCACACGAGAGTTATATCGTACTTTGAGATTTTGGTCGAATATAATAAATTAATAATCGGTACTTAATAAATTTTAAATTTTGAGTTAAATTTGTTAATATTGTAGTATTATTTTCATTCCCTTTTAAATTATATACCAACCAAATTTATTATATTATTTTTATAAATACTTATTTATATCTATCAATATTAAAAAATATTTTGTGCAAAAGATATGTTTATTTTTTCTTAATTATTATATAGTGTATGTATTTTTTTGGTTATTCCAAATATGTTTTTCTTTATTAAAATCAAATATTCTAGAGTAAAAAAAAATTTGTTTGGCCATCTAAAAAAAGCTTTAGTAGTATTAAAATACTCCTAGGTGCACCCTTTTATTTATTTTTAATAATAATTAATTAATTAATTATATAGATAGGGTTTCTTGCAAGAATGGGTATAAAATTTGAATTTAATGCTATGATCATAAATTTATTATAAATTATTGAAAAAGCAAATAAAAATAAGTCCCTCAAGATGTGAGACATGATTTGATAATGAATTTCATGAAATTAATTATTGAAAGCAATTTGAGTTCATTTAATAAGTTTTAAATTGATATAATTTAAAAATGTAGTCTCATGACATAGACTTGCTAATATGGAGCTTATTATATAAAAGTGTATTTTTATGTAACATAGTAGACTTCATATCACTATTATTTGAGTAAAATATAGTTGATTATATAGCTCTCACACCCACAACATATATTCTGGAACCAAATTAGGTAACTAATTTATTCATTTTTTATCATAATTATTTTGTACATTGGAACAAATAATCACTTATTCAAGTTCAATTTCATGGGATAAACTAATTTAAAAATAAATTGTATATTATCAATATTTATGTATACGTTATCGGTTATTATTCTAATATAATATAATAGGTTATGAGTTTATATTTCATATTGTGAGTCTTTCCATAATAATTTATACGTTAGGTATACTAGCATAATATTGAAAATCTTCAACTACTTGGCATAACAAAATTAAAATTTCTCTTAAAATTAATTTTTGACATAGACAATAAAATAATATTATCAAATTTTTTTATTTATATTTTATACATATTATATTATCATAATAAGACTTCTTTAAACAGAAAACACAAAAAAATGATGTAATATATTCTCTTTTTCTTTTTTGGGAAGTAGGAGATTCGAATCCGAGACTTTGCGTCTTTCATAATTTTTGAATTGATTATATAATGTCATTAATCATAATAGAGATAGAAATTAAAGATCAATCCATATATCCTTTTGATTCTATTAGCAAAGAGGAGTCGGAATAAAGCCAAGAAGTTAAAAAAAAAAAAAAAGTGATTCTCATACCCAAGAATGACGTAGTCATCACTTTGTAACCATTTAACCAAACCCACCAAACAAAGCCTTGGCCGACCACTGTCTTCCCACGTGTACCTCGGTTTCGTGTGATAAAAATTTTATTTTATAGAAAACTCCATTAAAATACTTTTAAATTATTTATTAATTCTAACCTTTCTGAAACACCCTTTTGAATTTTTTGAAAAGGCTCCATTTCTAATTACTTCTTTTAGGACTTGGTGTTGCTAAAGTACTAAAAATCTAATTATTCAAAAGTTTTGAAAAAATATAGGAATTAATTTGGAATATTCTAAGAGCCTTTAATACATTTTTTTTAATTAAAAAGATATTACAAATATTTCTAAAACTGGTCAAAACTTTTGAAAATTTATAAAAGGTGATGACACTATATATACCCAAAAATTTAATTCTTAACACCCCTTTTAATAATAATTAAATTATTAAAATTTCAAAAATTAAATATTTTAATAATTGTGAAGTAAATTCAATAGTTCAATACTTGATTGGACAGAAAATATAAAAAAATGTTAAAATTTGATAACAAATATATTTAGTAAATAAAAGCTAATAAATTATTTCAACAAAAAATATTTTCAGAAGTTAAAAAAATTAATATTAAAAATTAATGAAAAACCCATATTTAGTAAATAAAAAATAAAAAAGTTGTAAGTATATATATATATATATAAAGTTGGTACAAAGTAGGTTCTTGTGAAGAAGTTTAGTTTATGTAGATTTAGTGTGTTCCACTAGATTTCAACCCACATGCTCATTTTATTATTATTATTTATTTGATTTTTTTTCACTTCACTCTTCACACTGGCTATCTTTGTCTCTTCACTTCATTATTCACTCTACATTCCTTCCAAAACCTTTAAAATAATCTCATTCTTCATTCAACTTTTGAGTTTACAAGGTACATTTCTCCCTCTTTTCAGCATGCTTTTGCTTCAAGAAAGTGAAGTTAGTTTGGTTGTTGTTGAAAATATTGAATCTTTTGTTCACCCTTTTAAGTAATATGCAATGCATTGTTCTTGAAAGCTTTGAAAAGTTGAAGCTTTCTTCTTGTTCTAATTTTCTTGCTCAAGTTTTCTTTGAATGTTACTTTTGTTTCTGATCATTTTCATGGTGGTTTGTTTTGTTTTGTTTCTTTGTGGTTTTTTCAGTGTTAGATCTGTTTGTCTTGTGAGGTACGATCCCTGGAGTGTACATTTCTTTCTTTGTTTTATAATTATGCTAGTTTTGTTCTTCTGGGTATTTGTGTTGTTGTTTGGTTGCTGAGAAAATGTTTTCCTAGGAAAATAATCAAATGAGGTTGAGTTTTGAAATCTGCTTTACCGGTCTTTTGGAAGCTTGTTGCAGCACTGAAATGTTATTTTTCTTTTGTTTATTTCTTGTTTCATGGCTCTAAAATGGAGGGTATGAGTTATAGTTGTGACTCATGTTTTTTTTTTTTGGTTCTGATTTTTGCAGGTTTTTGGTGCTTTCTGGTCATTGATGAGGTTCTTTAATCTATTTCTTTCTCTTATAACTTACTTTGATAATTGTTGAGTGTCTGGTAATTCAAGCCATTTAATTATCTGAGTTTTGATTTTGTAAGTCTTTGTTGTATCTTGTGTAATTGAAAGTATCCTTCTGGGTGCTTCTGGTTTGTTAGTACACATTAGAGAAGATGCAGAAGCCTCCACAAGCTGTAGACTTTGCTCTGAAGGAGACCTCACCCAAGATTGGGGCGGGGGCGGGGGCGGTCACAGGTGATAAGCTCTCGTGCACCTATGACCTTGTTGAGCAAATGCAATACCTTTATGTCCGGGTTGTCAAGGCGAAGGAGTTACCTGGTAAAGATGTTACTGGTAGTTGTGATCCCTATGTTGAAGTGAAACTTGGAAACTATAAGGGAGCTACCAAGCATTTTGAGAAGAAGAACAATCCTGAATGGAATCAAGTTTTCGCTTTCTCGAAAGAGAGGATTCAAGCTTCGGTTTTGGAAGTGGTAGTGAAGGATAAGGATCTTGTTTTGGATGATTTAATTGGTAGGGTAATGTTTGATCTCAATGAAATCCCGAAACGGGTTCCTCCTGATAGTCCTTTGGCACCTCAATGGTATAGGATGGACGATCGAAAGGCAGTGAGGGTTAAGGGAGAGCTGATGTTGGCTGTTTGGATGGGAACTCAAGCAGATGAGGCATTTCCTGATGCCTGGCACTCGGATGCTGCAACAGTTGGCAGTGAAGGAGTTACAAACATTCGTTCAAAGGTGTATTTATCTCCCAAGCTTTGGTATGTAAGGGTCAATGTGATTGAAGCTCAAGACTNGAAGAAGAACAATCCTGAATGGAATCAAGTTTTCGCTTTCTCGAAAGAGAGGATTCAAGCTTCGGTTTTGGAAGTGGTAGTGAAGGATAAGGATGTTGTTTTGGATGATTTAATTGGTAGGGTAATGTTTGATCTCAATGAAATCCCGAAACGGGTTCCTCCTGATAGTCCTTTGGCACCTCAATGGTATAGGATGGATGATCGAAAGGGAGTGAGGGCTAAGGGAGAGCTGATGTTGGCTGTTTGGATGGGAACTCAAGCAGATGAGGCATTTCCTGATGCCTGGCACTCGGATGCTGCAACAGTTGGCAGTGAAGGAGTTACAAACATTCGTTCAAAGGTGTATCTATCTCCCAAGCTTTGGTATGTAAGGGTCAATGTGATTGAAGCTCAAGACTTGCTACCTGGTGATAAAAGTAGGTTTCCAGAAGTTTTCGTGAAGGCTATTCTAGGAAACCAAGCATTGAGAACTAGGATATCTCAAATTAAGACTATAAATCCATTGTGGAATGAAGACTTGATGTTTGTCGTTGCTGAGCCTTTTGAGGAGCCCTTGATTCTGACTGTAGAAGATAGGGTGGGATCAAACAAAGATGAAGTTCTTGGAAAGTGTTTGATTCCTTTGCAGAAGGTGCAAAGGAGATTGGACCATAAGCCTGTAAACACTCGGTGGTTTAATCTCGAGAAACATGTAAGTGTAGAAGGGGAACAAAAGAAAGATACTAAGTTTGCCAGTAGAATTCATTTGAGGATATGTCTGGAGGGTGGTTATCATGTTTTAGATGAATCAACACACCACAGTAGCGATCTTAGGCCAACTGCAAAACAGTTATGGAAGTCAAGCATTGGGATATTGGAGGTTGGAGTTCTTAGTGCTCATGGGCTGATGCCAATGAAGACAAGAGACGGGCGAGGAACTACAGATGCTTATTGTGTGGCCAAATATGGGCAGAAATGGGTGCGAACAAGGACTATTGTGGACAGCTCCGTTCCAAAGTGGAATGAGCAGTACACGTGGGAAGTTTTCGACATATGTACTGTCATTACAGTAGGGGTTTTTGATAATGGCCATATAGGTGGAGGTGGAAAGGACTCAAGAATCGGGAAAGTGAGGATTCGGTTATCTACACTTGAAGCTGATAGAGTTTATACGCACTCATATCCACTTTTAGTCTTGCATTCTTCAGGGGTGAAGAAAACGGGAGAAGTTCAGTTGGCTGTGAGATTCACATGCTTATCTTTGATTAACATGATGCATATGTACTCTCATCCATTGTTACCGAAAATGCACTACATTCATCCATTATCTGTTATTCAACTCGATAGCTTGAGACACCAGGCTATGCAGATTGTCGCTTTTAGGCTAAACCGAGCTGAGCCACCATTGAAGAAAGAGGTTGTAGAGTATATGCTTGATGTAGATTCACACATGTGGAGTATGCGGAGAAGCAAAGCTAACTTTTTCCGAATTATGGGTGTTCTAGGTGGGTTAATTTCTGTTGGTAAATGGTTTGATCAAATCTGCAATTGGAAAAACCCTCTTACAACCATTTTGATTCACATCCTTTTTATCATATTGATACTTTATCCTGAGCTCATACTCCCAACAGTTTTTCTCTACCTTTTCTTGATCGGACTATGGAACTTCCGTTGGAGGCCAAGGCACCCGCCTCACATGGACACGCGACTGTCTCATGCTGAAGCTGCTCATCCTGATGAACTAGATGAAGAGTTAGACACATTCCCGACTTCACGAGGATCAGACATGGTTCGCATGAGATATGATCGCCTGAGAAGTATAGGAGGCAGAGTTCAGACTGTCATCGGTGACCTGGCGAGTCAAGGAGAAAGGTTTCAGTCTCTGCTGAGCTGGAGAGACCCCAGAGCAACCACTCTATTTGTAGCTTTCTGTTTGATTGCTGCTATAGTTCTGTATGTTACTCCAATCCAAGTTATAGCCCTCCTCTTAGGCTTATATGTGTTGAGGCATCCGAGGTTTCGCCACAAACTCCCATCCGTTCCTCTCAACTTCTTCAGGAGGTTGCCTGCGCGTTCAGATATCATGCTGTGAGCACAACTGGATCACCCTCAGCTATGCAGATTCTGCAGCAGGGAAGAAGTAGTTCTTATTGCTGGTGGCAGATCTTAATTCAGTAAATTTCATGAATTGTAGTTTGCTTATGTTGTTTATTTAATTCTGTTCATTGATTAATATCGTTCATGTGTAAACTTCCAACTTTTTATCAGTTTATGCAACTCTGTCACCTAATTTATGTTAGTAATACAACTCTGTACCAATCTGATCGATGATAATGTTACCGTTTATTTGAACTTTTGCATCATGATGCAAAGGTAGACTGAACTATGATTCAATAATTCAGAATGGACTATAATTTAATAGTTCATGTCGGTACCGTTATCCTCACTTGGACTTATTTTTATCCCCATTTCGACCCTCGGATCACGGTACCAAATGTAGATTTGACTATGATTTAGTAGCTCGGATGAAGGTCAAAGGTAACGTTATCCATTACCTGGACCTCGAATTATAATACAAGAGTTGATTGAACAATGATTTTATGATTCATGTGAAAGATAACGTTACTTGGATAATGTAACTGTACTCCAATTTTTCTACACTTTACAAGGAAAAAAATATTGAGTATTGACAAATGGGTGCTCAAATGTAATGGGCCTTTCTATTTACTGGTGGCCTTTGAAGATACTTTTAGCAAGAGAGGAAGATTGTGAATATGAAAAGGGCCAAAAGGCCTACGGCTTTTCTAAGATTTTTATTTTCTTATTTCAAGTCCTCTAAACATGTATTATAAATCCATTTTTAATTTTTTTTTTTTAAATTTTATACTAATTTTTAAGTCACTAATAAAAACTAGTTTATAGTGACTCTTAAACCACTGCTAATTAATCACTATTTTCTACTTTAATTTCCAGCTTAATTAAAGTCTAAAGAGCACACCTAATCTTAATTTCTGACTTCATTTATTTAAAAGTGCTTTTATTGGAAGCATGTTTTCAAGGTTTTGTTTTGTAATATTTGGGTGAGAATTAGAAAAACTCATATCAAATAGCATCTTTCTTAGAAAAAAAACTTAATGTTTCTATTGGTAGCATGTTAAGAATATTAAAAATAATCAATTTTTTAATGTGGATGTAAAGAAGTTTTTATGTCGCGGTTCAAAAGCTAGCGATAAAAAAATTTAAGTTAATAATTAATCACTAATCTTTGATATGTACTTTAAAAACCTTAGGGTCTGCTTGAGAGTTTTTTTCTACTGGTTTTGAGGTGTTTTTAATTAAATTGATTTTGAGGTGTTTTAAAACCATTAATTGTTAAATTTTTTATGCACTAGTTTTGACTGGTTCAAAAACCTTCCAGAACCAATGTAGTGTATTTTTTAGAGGTTTATAACACCCAAATCAGAATGTTTTGGTTAGTTTTAAAATTTTATTCCACAAATACCCTATTCACTACAAAATTATCATAATTATATCCATTTTTTTTTAACCATATTATGCACGTCTTCAACCATATTAAATATAAAATAATTTTAAGCAATAATAAAAAAAATTTATTAAAATCTCATATCTAGATGCTTTTCTGGAGAAGTGGAGCTACAATTTTTCAATCATTCCAGATATTGCAAAGAATGGCAAAGAAGGATAATGAAACTTTATCATATTTGAAGTTATAAAATACTAATAAGTAGAAAATAAATAAAGAACTTTTACCTTATAATTGAAAAAACAAAACTCCCAAGAATTGGTTGAAGTTGGGTATTTTTACGGGCATATATGTAAATTTATCATTTAAAAAAACTATCAGAACCGCTGTAAAATAAATTCCCAAGTACAGTTTGGGTGTTTTAAAAACTGCTACTAAAAACCTCTCAAAACCGTTATGATGGTTTACCCTCAAAATTGCTACAATGGTTTATTCTCATAACCGCTATCATAAAATTCCCAAACAGACCCTTAAAATTTCCACACGGAGAGCTCTCCTCCTTTTTACGTCTCGACTCTTTGATCTTAAGAATATTAGTTTTAAGAACAAGTGAACCTAAAAGTAGACATCTAATGCATTTCATTTATTGAGCACGATTTTATGGTTAGTTTGTGATTCTTAGGTTTCAAAGGCACCCTTAGGGTGATTTTTTTTTTTTTTTATATAAAGTATTTCAACTGCCCATTTGCAATGAAATAATAAATAATAAATAATATTTAAAACTCGATAATATTATTGGATGGATAAATATTTAGAAGTCAGAATTTAATAATGTATATGTTTTTGCCACTCAACATTTTTGATGGGATAAAAGAGACCATGATACCTTAATTCAATAGTTTATAAAAATTGAGTTTTATGGGACAATTATTTATTTATTTATTTATTTTTTTGCTTTTGGAAAGTTAGATTACTTTATCAATATTTTATTATCTAAAATAGTTTTAAATTAAAAAAAAAATTGGGAAATTTATAGATGCTGAGAACCAACAGAGCATCAAGATTTCATGGCATCCATGATACCTTAGCTCAATAATTTAGAAAAATTAAATTCTCTTAAGTTCCTCTCATTTTAATGGGACAATATTTTTGTTTTGGAAAGTAAGATTACTTTATCAATATTTTATTATCTAAAATAGTTATAAATTAAAAAATATATATTGGGAAATTTATAGATGTTGAGAATCAATCGAGCATTAAGATTTCATGGCATAATTTTAATATAAAGCCACCCTTTATTCAAAGAATCAGAAAAAAATTTTGTTTGTTCTTTGAAGATATCTACAAGAAGATAAATTCCAAGGCGGGGTTGAGAGAATTTTTTAATTTGTTAAATTAATATTAAAAAATTATGAATTAATGCCAGGTGTTTGCTGCTTAATTAGACACTAATTACAATGCTTTAAAGTATAAGAATTGTCTAAAGAATATCTCTTTTCGTGATTATTAAGAAAGTTTCAGAGCGGCTGTTGTTAATTGTAAGCATACCAGGAGACAATGTTTTCAGGAATAAAATTTAGCATATGTTTGAGATTCTTACCCTAGAAAGAACTTAATTTCTTTTTATATATATAAAGTACTTATTAATTATTTATTCGATTCATGATTCGAAAATATATTTTTTAAAGTTAATATATAATTCAAGATCAAATGTATTTGATGTAATATTTAAAAGAGAAAACTACTTTTTCCCACCCAAGGTTTGCCTTAATGACACTTTCCTACCCAAAAAGTTTCAAAATACCATTTTTTCACTTAAAGTTTATATTCTCTTAATGTCCAATGTTGATTCTAGCTGATTCCGACGGCAAAAATTCTCTTCTTCACCACCACTTGAACCTATAGTCTTTTCTCTACAAATTCCATCTCACTTCGACACCTAATTTCTTACCGATTGTTAGCTACCGCAAAGTTAGAGTTTATTGTTCTTAGTTGATTTTCGATTGATTCTGGTAGTGAATATTCAATCGATCACCACTATTTGATCCATTTGCCTCCACTCTACAAAACCCTCTTACTCTGTCTCTTAGTAACTCGCCGAATGCCGACTGAGAAAATGAAATGTATTTTGAATATAAACTTTGGGTGGAAAAATGATATTTTGAAACTTTTTGAGTAGAGTACTGTTATTAAGGCAAACCTTAGGTGGGAAAAAGTCGTTTACTCTATTTAAAACCTGAAAATCTATGTTAAAAACTATAGAAAATTGAGTAGGTGGGAAGACTTTTTTTCTATTTTCTAGTTTTAATTTATAGTAGTTTTTAAAATTTGTATTTGGAAACAGATTTTTGTAAATATTTTAAACATAAATTAATTCTTTAGGAAATGATTTTCATATAAATTTATATCGGATACAATTAGTTTTCTTAATCTTATTCATACAATCGTTTCACCTAAATTTAAGGACGTTTATAACGAAGTTCTTTTTGAACTGCTCGCTCAATAACTTTACAATTAAATTATATAATTGTTATTTTATTTAAAAATTCATTAGGGGTCATTGTAAAATGCCGGATAGTACTATATATTATATAATGATAGTTATGGAAAAGTAATATAATTTTATTCAAATTAATCTTTATCCAATTATGAATTAGTTACTCAAATCTTACAAGAATAATTTGGTATATACTACATATATATAGAGACTTGTGTTTTGTCGAATTTAGAGGGTGTTTTAACTTGTTTGTTCAAAGTTCTTAGGTACTACAATCAATATATAATTTCCAATTAATTATTGCTAAACAAATAGTGATTAGCAATATTAACAGAAAATTTCATTGGAATTGACTATTACATGATCTATAATTAAGCTCTCTTCTTGTACTTTTCCATTGATTGTGAGTGATTACAACTAAATTTTAAATTACTAATATCTGATAATTAAACTATTAATGTTGTTTTCATGTTATTAGTCAAATTAAACACTTTTTTTTTTTTTTTTTTTTTTTGTGAGGATCGAGAGTGTCTGGACCAATTTATTAGCATCTTAATTAATCCTCTAGGACCTTGGAATTACCGACCGAGTAAAAACTCCAATAACTATCCCTATTAGCAACTAATGAAAGACTCAAACTTAGGATATCTTCAGTAACACACCCAAACGGTCCCTATTGAACCACTCAATAGTTAAATTAAGCACTTTAAAACACATGGATAAACTCTTCTCTTGCAATTTTATTTCTCTGCAAACATAGAAATAGTAATTCAACCAGACAGTTGAAACATCATTAATTTACCTAAATTATATTTCTAAAAAAATCTTGTGATAATGATATATATATTTTTTTAATTTTTTATTTTGTTAAGTACCCATCACAAACTTCAACTTTATAAAAGAATTTTAAATTAGGAGAGGATTATTAATTATCCAACTCAAAAAACTTCAACTAATATACACTACAATTCAACAACAATAATAATGTTAAGTTTAAGCAACATGAGTAATTTATAATGTATATGTACATATATTTATATATATAACATGATAGACAAATAATTCTTTTATGCAAGTGACGAGAGTATGCCATGTCATCACCTGTGTATGATATACGCATCCACATTATGTGATTGTATGTGCATTGAATGCAGGAAAAAATTATTTCATGATAGACAAGAATATAACTACAATGGTTTAAGTAAGATTTCAGCATATAAATTTAAACCTAAAAAATTATTGAACAAAATGATTATATAAATATGTCTATCCATCCACGATTTAGACGTCACAATGATATAATTTATGTATACATCACAATTAAATAAACAGATGTATTTTCATCCTATTAAAAACTTTAAATTCTTTGCAAAATTATATTATTGATTCGATAACATTACAATATAAACTATTATCCGATAAAAATTATGGATCCCATAATATCAACCAGCAGGAATAATAAACTTTGCATAATCTCACCTAAAACTGTCCAAAGACGTCCATGCATGAACTGTAACGTGCATTGAAATTGTCAAAAACAGGAGCACAAAAATGAGAATATGTGAAAATTCAAGATCAATATGCCCGGTGAAACCAAGAAAAGATTGCAATAAGATGAACAGTGAACTTTGTCTTGTTCGCGTTGGCTCCAAAAAGAATCTTAACTATTTAAATCCTCAATAATGCCTCCATTTTTACTCGTGGACATTTGGCTAACTTTTCAGCTTTTTCCTACGTACTTTGACGGGCTATTCTGCCTTTCTTCTTTCGCCATTTGGCACTAACTTCATTACCCTTTTCACGTTTTGCTTCCCAGGTTAGTTTTTTTCTGTTTAAACTTATTTCTTTTGATAGTTATAGCTCTTTCTTTTGTAGTTTCTTTGAACGTGGTGACAATGGCTTTACAGGAAGTGGATCAGCATTGTCAAATAATTGGCTCACCAGGCTTCCAAACAAGTGCCTTTACATGCTAGTGCTTCTATCTTTTAAGGTTTGTTAGTTTCTTCTGATATCCGTAAAAGTTTTACTAAAGCTCGTATTAAGAGAGGATCCTTTTTTTTTTTTTTTTTTTTGAAACATTAGCTCTTACTTCTATATTGATTCTTAAATACAAATTACAAAGTATAGTTCTATCTTTTAAGGTTTGTCAGTTTCTTCCAGAGTTCCGCGAATGTATTAGTAAAGTTCGGATCAAGAAAGGATCCTGATATTCTTTGAAATGTCTGCTCTCACTTCTACATTGATTCTTAAATGCAAAGTATACTTTTATCTTTTAAGGTTTTTCAGTTTCTTTTGAATTTCATAAAAGTTTTAGTAAAGCTCGAATCAGGGGAGGATCCTGATTTTATTTCAGAACGTTAGCTCCCACTCCTGTATTGATTCCTAAATGCAAAGTATACTCAATAGAGTTCTTGCTGCTGTTCTTTGAGTTTGTCAGAATTTATCAGAAGAGACAAGAATAGATACATCGTTTAATTCCATTTTTAACATGAATCTCTTCAAGTTTTTATCCTATTTAACTTGTATCTTATCTCGTTTCTTCTGCAATACCTACAAGCTATTTTGCATTGTTTTTTATAAAACTAATGTTTTTGGCTTCATTCACTCAGTTAACTTGCATTCTGATGGCCTTTTGATTCAAAACTTGCTGCTCGCAGGAGGCTTAAACTGCATAAAAATGGAGCTTGGAAAATCAATAGAAGATCAATTCTCCAAGCTGCATCCAAGCCTAGCAGTGGACACAAGAATTGGAATAGTAGGAGCAGGTCCAAGTGGCTTATCAGCTGCATATGCACTAACCAAACTTGGCTACAGAAATTTGACCATGTTAGAAAAGTATCACACGGTTGCTGGCATGTGTGAATCGGTCGAAATCGAAGGTACAAATTGAACAATTGTACTCCTGTCAATCTTAATTTTGTTATTCCAAGAGATTTGACTCTGTAGCATACTTGAATGAACTTCACAGGAAAAATATATGATCTGGGTGGTCAAGTTCTAGCTGCAAACAGTGCACCTGTCATTTTTCACTTGGCGAAAGAGACAGGTTCCGAATTAGAAGAAATGGACTCTCACAAGCTTGCCCTCATTGATGCCTCTTCAGGGGAGTTTCAGGACATCAAAGTTGCTGATGATTATGTGTCAGTAATCCAATTGACCTTGGAACTGCAGGTCAGTTAATTCTTTTACTGCAGGATTGTTTCCATATTTGAAATCTCAACAGCTAGTCTCATATTCCAAGCTGCAAACATACAGGATCAGGCGATGGATTCAGGTCGAACTGGGGTACACGCGGTGAGTGATTTTGCTTCAGACTTAACTCCAACGTACCTTGAAGGTCGCGGATTTAAATCTGTTCCCAAATCTGTGGCTTATGGATACACTGCATCGGGTTATGGATTTGTGCAAGACATGCCTTATGCCTACATTCATGAGTTCACGCGGACTTCCATGGCAGGGAAGATTCGACGCTTTAGAGGTGGATACACAAGTCTTTGGCAGAAGCTCAGTAAATATCTTCCAATTAAAGTACACTGCAACACTGAAGTACTAGCAGTTAGGCGCGATTCGACTAGTGTCAATGTTGATGTGAAAAATTCTGATGGGGAATGTAAGGTTATGGAGTTTGATAAAGTCATTATCTCTGGAAACTTTCCTTTGAAGAATGGCAAAATTTACAGATCTCCAACTTTGAAGTCTTCAGGTTAGTTGAGTTTTTATTTACTCCTACTTTTTATCGACCTATTTTTCCATTCGTTTATGTGTTTATGTCTGGCTGCAAATTTCTGCAGAATCCGAAACCGAAGTAATGGACATGGATGAGCTTGAAAAGGAGCTATTCAGCAAAGTACAGACAATTGACTACTATACCACTGTTTTAAAGATTAAAGGGCTAGAACATATGCCAATTGGTTTCTATTATTTTGGTGAATATATGGAGGATCCTGCAACGATTGGACATCCTGTTGCAATGCAAAAGTTCTTTGCTGACACTGATATTTTCTTGTTTTGGTCTTATGGTAATGCCGTCGATATTACTGGACAAACTGTCACTGAGCTTGCAGTCAAAGCTGTTGAAAATATGGGGGTAGAAGTTCAGAATGTGGTTCTACAACGGCGATTTAAGTACTTCCCACATGTTGGCAGCCAAGGTATATATACTCAATGATCTAGTTCGTATAATTTATTCCAGCCAGAAGAGGGACACTAATTCTTCAATTTTACCACAGATATGAAGGATGGATTTTATGAGAGGCTGGAAACTGAACTACAGGGTCGGAGGAAAACTTACTATGTTGGTGGACTTATGGCATTTGAGCTCACAGAGAGGAATTCATCCTATTCCATGGCTCTAATCTGCAAGCACTTCGCGAATGATAATTCTTTGCCAGAGCTTACATATGTTAAGGTAATTTGACTAGTAAAAAGTTAGATGTTTTGAATATCAGTAGCTGAAAAATGAAATCTTACATAACTCTTTAACATCATGTTTATGCAGAGTTTGTTCCCCTTGCAATCAGATAACTGGCATAAGAAATTCAAAGAATTGGGAGAAGTGCCGGGTGTGGAGTTCCCTCATCTGTCTACTCTTGATGGTTACTTGAAGCACTGGGGAACTCATGGAGTTACTAGAAGCAAAACACTCTATTCTTGGATTAATGAAGAAGGCGCAGTAGTGAGCCAGAGGACTTATGCAGAACTTCATGTTAATGCTTCTTGCATTGCGAACGAGCTCTTGTCAAGCCGGAGACCAGTTATCAAGCCTGGAGACAGAGTTCTCCTAGTTTATGTCCCTGGTCTAGATTTTGTTGATGCATTCTTTGGATGCTTAAGAGCTAAAGTTTTACCAGTTCCAGTTCTTCCTCCAGATCCCTGGCAAAGAGGTGGACAAGCATTGTTAAAGATCGAAAACATTGCAAAATCATGCGAGGCCAAGGCGATTTTATCAACTGTTGTTTATCACTCAGCGGTTCGAGCAGGATTTGTGAAGAATCTGGTTTCATTGACAGGAAAAAATGGCAAAGCAACAGCGCGCTGGCCTAATCTTCCTTGGCTGCACACTGATTCTTGGATCAAGAATTCTGATAACTTGATTCCAAAAATTATAGCTGATTTATCTGAACCTCAGCCAGATGATCTTTGTTTTCTGCAGTTCACATCAGGGTCAACTGGCGATGCTAAAGGAGTAATGATAACTCATGGTGGCCTGATTCATAATGTGAAGTTGATGCAAAGGCGATACAAGAGCACCTCAAAAACAGTACTTGTCAGCTGGCTTCCTCAGTACCATGACATGGGGCTGATTGGGGGACTGTTTACAGCTTTAGTTAGTGGAGGTTCAGCAATATTGTTTTCTCCAATGACATTCATCAAGAACCCCCTCTTATGGCTTGAAACCATGAGCAAATACCGGGCTACTCACAGCGCTGGCCCTAACTTTGCTTTCGAGTTGATGATCCGAAGACTCGATTCTGAGAAGAACAAGGCTCGGAACTATGACCTTTCTTCAATGGTTTTCCTTATGGTTGCTGCTGAACCAGTGAGGCAGATAACACTGAAAAAGTTCATTGGATTGACTAGTCCTTTCGGCCTTTCTCAAGAGGTGATGGCTCCAGGCTATGGCTTGGCAGAAAATTGTGTTTTTGTCAGCTGTGCATATGGGCAAGGAAAGCCAATTTTTGTTGATTGGCAGGGAAGAGTTTGTTGTGGCTATGTGGATCCAAATGATGAAGATGTTGACATCAGAATAGTCGATGCGGAGAGTAGTGAGGAGCTCAGAGAACCTGGAAAAGAGGGAGAAATATGGATTAGTAGCCCCAGTTCTGGAATTGGTTATTGGGGGAGAGAAGATGCCAGCCAGAAGACTTTTGGAAATGAAATTCAGAATCACCCTGGAAGAAAATATACCAGAACTGGAGACCTTGGAAGAATTATTGATGGAAAGTTGTTTATCACTGGAAGAATCAAGGATCTTATCATTGTAGCAGGAAGGAATATTTACTCTGCTGATGTTGAAAAGACTGTGGAGAGCTCATCTGAACATCTGCGCCCGGGTTGTTGTGCTGTCATTGGTGTTCCGGAGGAAGTCCTATCAACAAAAGGTATTTCAGTTCCAGATAGTTCTGACCAGGTTGGCCTAGTTGTGATTGCTGAGGTTAGAGATGGTAAACCTGTTGATAAGGATGTCACTGAACAAATTAGAACCCGAGTTGCAGAAGAACACGGTGTTACTGTTGCTTCTATCAAGCTGATCAAACCCAGGACTATAAGTAAAACAACGTCAGGGAAGATCAAGAGATTTGAATGCCTCAAACAGTTTGTTGATGGAAGTCTGAACACAGTCCCCGAACCACTTTTTTCGAAGAAAAAATTGGTCCGATCATTCACTACTGGAACATGTAAAGAAGGCAGAACACCAAGACCTCAGCTTGTGAGTTCTCCAGTGTCAGGACCTAAACTGACTAACAAAGATATTGTGGAGTTTCTGAAAGGACTAGTTTCCGAGCAGACAGGGATTCCTATCATAAAAATCTCTGCCACAGAAAGCCTGGTATCTTATGGAATTGATTCGATTGGCGTCGTTAGAGCTGCTCAAAAACTTTCTGATTTTCTTGGAGTGCCGGTTGGAGCAGTAGATATCTTTACTGCAACCTGCATTGTGGACTTGGCAAACTTCTCAGAGAATCTTGTAACGAAGTCTCAACCTCAACTCATGAACAACTCAACCGATACTCCAGAGCCTGAGATAGAATATTCTGAGATGGAGATGGAAGTTTCTAAAACTCGCCAATTTGGTATATGCATTTTCCAACTTCTGGCTCTTCTTTATGTTTCAGCCATGCTGATACTTCCTGCTTATCTATCAATTTCTGCTTTCATCAATTTGGTCTCAATCACACACTTGGGATATTTGTTCTCCTTGGTTTTTGCTCCTCTTGCTTGGATCCTTTGCATAGTTTCCACTTGCATTTCCATTGCTTTCTTTGGAAATTCTTTCCTGAGACCAAACTATATATTGAATCCTGGAATTTCCATCTGGTCAACGGATTTTGTCAAATGGTGGGCACTTTATAAGACTCAAGAAGTTTCTTCTAAAGTTCTTGCAGTCTATTTAAGAGGAACAGTTTTCCTGAATTACTGGTTTGAGATGCTAGGAGCTAAGATTGGATCATCAGTGTTGCTCGATACTGTTGATATCACAGACCCTTCTCTTGTTTCAATTGGAGATGGAGCTGTGATTGCTGAAGGGGCTTTGGTTCAAAGCCATGAGGTAAAGAATGGAGTCCTGAGCTTCCTCCCAATTAGAATTGGCAGAAACTCTTCAGTTGGCCCATATGCTGTGATTCAGAAAGGAAGTATAATAGGAGAAGAAGCCGAATTAGCCCCCTTGCAAAAGAGTGAACCAGGCAAACTCATATTCAAATCTTCCAAGGCAAACAGTGCTCAAAAGGTAAGTTAATTTAAAAACATTTCCACTTCATATTAGATTTTTGAATTTAAGGCTTATAATTCTCATTCCTCCTTGATTTCAGGGTACTGCAGTTCAGCCAAATGAGGCCATTTACCAATTCATGGGAATCTACATGGTCAGTTTCATCAGTACTTTAGCCGCGGCTGTTGTCTACCTCTTCTACCTTTGGCTGTCTCAAAAGCCGGCTTCTGTTCAACAATTTTCATTTCTTTGTATAGCCGGAGCCTTCCATTGGATTCCATTCACCGTCACAGCATATGCCACCATGTTCACCAGCATTCCTTCAAACCCAGCTTACTGTGCTATCTTAGTTGCCATTGCTTATTTGTTTCATGGCCTCGTACTCAGCTTCCTCACATGCATTTCAGCCCACTTTCTTGCTGGTAAAGAAGAGGAGAAACAATCCCACATGAAGGTTTGGCTTTGCAACCGGATTACCATCGCCTCTCATCTAAGATTTGCAAAGCTCTTATCTGGAACAGAAGCATTCTGTATGTACTTACGCCTTTTGGGTGCGAAGGTCGGGAAACATTGTTCAATCAGAGCTATCAATCCAGTTTCATGTCCAGAGAAAATTACAATTGGTGATGGTGTCCATCTCGGTGACTTCAGCCGGATCATTGCTGGATTCTATTCCTCTAAAGGGTTTACTTCAGGGAAAATTGAAGTGCAAGACAACTCAGTGATTGGAAGTCAAAGCCTAATCCTCCCTAATTCGGTAGTTCAAAAAGATGTTATTCTTGGTGCACTTTCAGTTGCTCCAATGCATTCAGTTCTGCAACAGGGCGGTGTTTATGTTGGATCTCAACCTCCAGTCATGATCAAGAACACAATGCATGCTTTGGATGACAGGATAGAAGAAATGGACATGAAATACAAGAAAATTGTAGGCAACTTGGCTGCAAATTTAGCAGCCACAACTTTGAAAGTTAAATCAAGATACTTCCACCGAATTGGTGTCAGTGGAAAGGGACAGCTGAAGATTTATGACAACATTGAAGGCCTGTCAGGTCACAAGATCTTCAATCCTGGAAAATGTTACCCTGTGGTAGTCCGGCATAGCAATAGCCTGAGTGCTGATGATGATGCAAGGATAGACGCACGTGGTGCAGCGATAAGAATACTTTCGGATGAAGTTGGTGCTACCTCCCCACTACTTGATCTTACACTAAAAACAGGCAAGGCATTCTATGCACGTTCGATTGCAGATTTCGCGACATGGCTTGTGTGTGGACTTGCCGCAAGAGAAGAGCATGTGAAGAGAGTGCCACACGTTCGCGATGCAGTGTGGATGTCCCTTCGCCATGCTGACTCGTACGCAGAGCTACATTATTACTCAAACATTTGTAGGCTTTTCAGGTTCACAGATGGACAAGAAATGTATGTGAAGTTCAAGTTGAGGCCTTATGATGAAAACATTTCTGAGGATTCTGGTAAAGTGGAGCCTGTTGGGATTCTTCCTCCGGAAACTGGGGCAATTCCGAGGGACGAGAAAGACACTCGCCCTTTGCTTTTCCTTGCTCAAGATTTCCAGAACCGAGTAAATTCTACAGGCGGTGTTCACTACATTTTTCAGCTACAAGTCCGGCCAGTTCCACAGGACGAAGCCGCTTGCGACATTGCACTTGACTGCACCAAACCATGGGATGAGACTGAGTTCCCATATATTAATGTGGGGGAGATTAGTCTTGATCAAAATCTCTCCAGGGAAGAATCAGAAACTCTTGAATTTAATCCCTATCTTCGATGCCACGAAGTTGATGTCATTCCAGCTTCATCTTGCTCTCAAAGTGCTTCAATCGATCACGGTCGTTCATTAATCTACGAGATTTGCCAGCATCTGCGAAACGGGGAGCCACTTCCAGAATCCTGGAGGATCTTCTTGGAGCAATCTGATGTAAAAGTAGACCTTTCAGGGTGTCCAATGGCAGCAGCCCTGGAGAAAAGACCTGAAGAGCAAGTGACCCTGGCAAGAAATTGGCACCAAACATTATGGTCCATTTTCGCTCAACCATTGCTACAAACAATCTTCCCATATTTCCTCTTATTCCTAACAATCCTTCCTCCGTTAAACCGGTTACTTCTCCTGGAAGCAACCAAGAAACTCCCACTGCACTGGTTACTTCCCATCTTTTGGACCTCTACCGGAATCCTATCAGCATTTGCTTGTGTTTTAGCCAAATGGGTTCTCGTAGGAAAAAAGAAAGAGGGCAAAAGCGCGAAGATTTGGAGTAAAGCTGTCTTCATGGACACGACATGGCAGGCTTTCAGGACTCTAGTGGGGGATTATTTCATGGAGCTAACAGGAGGGTCATTCTTATTCATTTTATGGATGAAAATGATGGGATCAGAGATAGAGATGGGGGATGGGGGGGCATATGTGGACAGCATGGGAGCAATGCTGAATCCTGAAATGGTGGAGATGGAAAGAAGGGGAAGTGTGGGAAGAGAAGCAGTGTTGTTTGGGCACATTTATGAAGGAGAAGATGGGAAAGTGAAATTTGGGAAGATTAGAATTGGAGAAGGAGGATTTGTAGGGAGTAGAAGTGTGGTGATGCCTGGTGTTAGAGTGGAGAGTGGAGGGAGTTTGAGTGCTTTGTCAATTGCCATGAAAGAAGAAATTGTGAAGTCAAGGTGAAGAAGAAGAAGATCACAAAAGCTTAGTTACTTTTTGTAATGGTGATTTATACTTCGTGGCTTTTTTTTTTTGTTTCCCTCAATAAATTAACCGCCAAAGCTTATAGAAATTGAAAAGTATAGTACTATAATTTAGTGAAATCCTTTTTCTTTGTCTCTTCCTCTCAAATTCTCTAAAAGAATACTCAAATAAATATTTACATTCATATATCTATTAAAAGAATACTCAAATAAATATTTACATTCATATATCTATTACTGTCGCTTAACCTTAAAAGATGAATTTGCAGCTTTTAGAAGGGGAGAACGACTTACACCTACCCAAAGTTTGTTGTAAAGACAAATTGGCACCCAAAATGTTTGAAAATAACAAATAGCCACTTTCCATCATGTTCTGTTAGGAATTTCTATTTGCTAAAGGACAACAATGGTAAAAAAAACTAGAATACCCTTGGAAGTTTGATATTATATAATATTTTATTAATTTATGGGGAGTCAACTAATTCAATTACGTAAACACCCACATCAATACATTAAATTACAATTATGAGTTTATATAACTTAACCTTGGGATTTTTGAAAATTGAGAGGCAACAAAAGACCAATTTGTCCCTATTTTGGTAGCAAAATTACAAAGTAAAAGAAACACAAAGCATGCAACACAATTAAAATGTTTCAATTGCGGCTTTAGCAATTTGTATTGACATTCTTCATGATTTAAAACAAATCCTTCTTTCGAAAGAACATAAAATTTGTAATAAAATTCTTCCAAACTTACAAATAACACAAAATATTAATTCAATACAGCAAAAGGAGTTTACAGTGAAGAAATACAAAAAAACAAGAAGCAATTTCAAAATGGTTTTGTTAGCAGCTCTTAAATATTAGCATAAATCTTCAAACAACATTGTATTTGTTGAGTTACATCTTCAAAAATTCAATTGCTCCTTAAGTCTGGCCTGTTGCTCTAACATAGGCTTAGAAATTGTTTCCTTCATGAGCTTCACCAATCTGATCTCCGAAAAAGTGTAGACAGACAAAGAGATACATCATGATTTTCAATAACAAAGCGAAAAGGATGGTAAGAAAATAGAAATGGAAAATGATAGAGTTACCGAAAGTTACAAACCGAATTTGTGCACCGAATGACATGGCAAAATCCCGACCATTGATTAATATTAAATTATAATGAATCAACGGTCTGGATTTCGCCATGTCATTCGGTGCACAAATTCAGTGCACACCCTTCGGTAACTGTATCATTATTCAATAGCAATATAGCTACATCAGATAAGATTAAGAAAGAGTTCACAAACAAGACTAAGAGTAAATTATAGATGTTGCCAGAAAATTTACAATAGCAAATTGATGTGTTAATATTTTATCTTTTGATGTAATTTTGAATAACACCACATGAATAAAAAACTTTTAATTGATTTATAAAATCTCTTGAAAAACCTCCCTATAATTATATAGGTTTTTTTTTTTGTCACAAAGTGATAGTCACAAAGATGTGTAATGAGAATGAATATTTCATATAGAGGAGATTTAAGTGCAAATTTATAAATTTGATGGACTTTATAGATATTAACCAAACTATACGGGAAATCATATCTTATCCCTAATTAAGTTTTCATTTTACAAACCAATTTTTCTAAACAAATTTACAAGATAAAATTACTAAAATTTTACTTTTAAATTACCTAGGATAAATTAAAATAAATAAATGGTGGATTCAGCAATATTTTTGATAAAATTATAACTCCATTTTTTTTCTTTAATATAAATTTTCTTCCCTTTATGCCAAGGAAAAAATTAATTAGAGGAATCATTTTTTTTTAATAAACATTCCTTATTTTGATTTGTTGGCTAATAAAATTCCTTGTAGAATTGTCATTTAATTGAAAATTTTAAATTAATGAAGGGGAATATTAAGTTAAATACACGCATACATTAATTAATAATATTATATATTACACTTTTTTTTTTCAATCCATTGACTTCAATTTCATGTCAAATGCATACTCTATGGTCAATTATTTGTTTATTTATTTATTTTTATAAATAAGTTGTCACCATTGACTATAGTACTATACTCTTGTGATTAATAATTATTTGACTTCTTATTTAGAATTTTCAATACTGGTTCTAATTTAATATATTTTGCAATTACTTGAAATAATTATGTAATTACAAAATGACCCTTGGATCACTTCAATAGTTAGTGAACCACTTTTAAGTCTTTTAACTATTGGAGTGATCTAAGGGTGTGTTTGGTAGAGATGGCAATGGGCCCGATATTTTCGGGTACCCGACCCAGCCCAAAAAGGTCGAGCTTTACCCGATGTTCGCGGACTTGGGCTTGGGCCTGATTTTAAGGCCCGACCTCAAGTACAGGCCAGGCCTGGGTATGTCTTTAGGCTCGGCCCGGCCCGACCCGACAATTTTAGTATTACTTTTTCTAAATTATTTTTATACTATATATTTAATTATAAGATTATCCTACATATATATACCCATTTTTCCCAAACCCTAATCTCATCTCATTTGATGAGTATTTAAAAATAAATTAATATTTAAAAACTATTTTTAGAATTAAAAATATAAAAAAAATTTAAAATTTATTATTATTTAAATATTCAAATTATAAAAATAGGTGGGCTTGGGCCGGGCCTAAGGTTACAAAAAACTTGTCGGGTCGAGCATGGGCTTTACCTATCATACCCATGACGAGCCCAGGCCGGGCTTGGGCCTTTGTCATGAGGTCGGGCTTGGGCCTAGGCCAAGGGGTACACAGTCCCGGCCTAGCCCATTGCCATCACTAGTGTTTGGTTGGGGGTAATCTCCCATTACTGGAGTAATGTCATTTTATATTATTTGATTATCACGTTTGATTGTCAAGAAGTATAAGATTCTGGTAATCTTCTAAAACCAATAGTAATTACTGTTGGTTATATAAATAGTATTTTAAAATTACTTGGTAATTTTAATTTGTTACAACTTTACACTTAATTATTAAAAATTTTAGACAACAATGCCCTTAATTTGAAATTAATTTACATGAACTCTACCATTACAATTTTACCCCTAAATAATTAAATTTTTGGATAATAATGCCCTTGTTTTAAAAAAATTTACAAGGCACCCAAGAGGACCGTTGATAGCTGGTCACCACCGTCGGCCAACGTCGCTAGAATGGAGCATGAACGGTTAGATCTAGCCAGCCGTGCTCTATCTGGCCAGCCGTGCTCTATCTGGCCAGCCATGCTTCTATCTAGCCATTTTTTGCCAGATCAATGGCTAAAAATGGTTAGATGGCCATGGATCTGGACTTTAACTATGCGTAGCCATCAGTATTAAGCTTGATCTGTGCTGATTTCGGCATCGCAGTCAGCCCTAATCACCAGCATCTTACTCCTCTCGTTTTCCTCTTCAAATTCCACCAAACCCCACCACCAAAGCTGCCCCTAACCGCCGGCAAAGCCCACTGCTTTTTGACATGATTTTCCTTTTTCTCTACGCTTTTCTAGTCGCATTTTCCATTGGAAATCACCCCACTTGCACCGATTGATTCCACTTCACCTCCTTTTCAAAACCCCTCAAAGAATATCTCCATTGCACTTCTTGATCGAAGGCCGACGATGATTTAGGTGGCCAACAATGGCTTGGATGGGTGACAGTGTTTTTGTTAAAAATTAAACTTTTATGTGGCTGGGGTGTTTTAGCTAAATCTAAAATCTAAGGGGATAAAAATGGATTCAAAAAATAATATTATATTAATATTTAAAAAGAAGGACAATTTAGTAATCTATATAACATACCCACCAATTTATTCCTTCTAACCAAACATATCAATATAACATACCTACCAATTTGTTCCAACGTAACTAAACACATTTCCCTAAACATTCTCAGTAATCTTCAAGGTAATTTATCTTTCTAGTAATACAACATTCCTAATAATATAACATTTCTTGAACCAAACGCATTCTAATAGTCATTTGTGGTGGATAGGGTAACATTAGCTCCTTTACAGTAACACATATTGTTAAAAAATTCATACACATTAGTAATGCTATCAAAGTAACATAAATGTTCTTGAATTGAAAATATTAATTAAGAAAATTATATTTAAAATACTAAATATAATGGTTAAATAGATATATAAAAGAGAAAATAATACATATATACAGACACTGATACTATATCATATATTTATTGACTTATGAGTTACAAGGTAAGAAGGCATCATTAAATCAATTAATAGTTCTCTAATTAAAACGTTTGAACATTAGTTTTGTTAAGATCATGCTTAAATATTATTACAGAATAAAGAGTAGAAATTTAGAGAAGAAGATGCTAGAGAGTAAAGTCAAGAAGAAGATTTTAATTCACACTCTTTTAGCCTTACATCCGTGCTATTTAAGTAAAGTGTAATGTAAAGTGGTTAAGTAAATAACCACAGTTACACAACTATTGGTTTACTAACCACAGTTACACAACTAACCACATTTCTAACTAAACTATATAACTGAATACTTCAATACCCTCCCTCAAGTTGGTGGGTGATAAACCCCTAACTTGCTTAAAAGATGATTATGAACTCTACTGCTAAGAGTTTTAGTCAAGAGATTAGCTCGTTGTTCTGAAGTAGGAATATGAGCCAGTTTAATCAACCCTGCCTTGACCTTGGTTTGAACAATATGACAATCGATATCTATGTGTTTGGTCCTCTTATGGAACATAGGATTAGAAGCAATGTGGTTTGCTGACTGATTATCACAACGAAGAGTGACAGGAGCCAAGTTTGAAAATCCAAGTTCAGAAAATAGCTAAAGATACCAAGTAATTTCACAAACAGTAGAAGCCATTGCTTGGTATTCAGCTTCAGATGAAGATTTAGAAATAGTAGCCTGTCTTTTAGATTTCCATGATAAAAGTGAATTACCAAGGAAAATGCAGTAACTAGTAACAGACTTCCAGCTCATAAGGCAAAAGGCCCAATCTTAATCACTATAGGCTAACAAATTCAGAGGAGTAGTAGAGGGGAAAAACAAGCCCATACCTAGAGCTGATTTCACATATTTAACTATCTTCATGGCAGCTTGCATATGAGATT